CGTGGGCCAATTCCCCTTGACCTGGGTAAGTTGGATCCTGACTTTTTCGTCAGCAATTGCCATAAGTAAGTATACCTACGCTTCAAATAACTAGCCAAATTTCACGCAGGATGCTAACTTTATATGTAGATGGCTTTTCGTTCCCCGTGGATGTGCAGTGTTTTATGTCCCGCAACGCAACCAGCATCTCATCCGTACAACTGTACCAACCTCCCACGGGTTTGTGCCAGTGCCACGCATAATGAAGACAGGCTCAGAATTGGAGGAAGACGGACCCTTCGCTAAACCTATAGACGCCTTTTTTGCCCAGTCGGATTTCGAACTACAGTTTGAATTCATCGGCACAAACGACGACTTGCCTTACCTCTGTGTCCCTGACGCCATGAAGTACCGCCAGGAAGTATGCGGCGGCGAAGAGAAGATCATGCAATACTGCCAGACGCTTGCCTTCGAGGCAGGGAACCGTGTTGCCCGGATCTGGGGCACAGACGTGCTTAGTGAATTTTGCTCCTCAGGAGGCCATTTGGACGTCACAAAGGAGAAACGAAGTGAATTCCGCAAATGCGCGTTTGCTAACGTGCGGTTGCCGATTACGCTTGTAGATGATCAGAACGTGCCTCAGGGAAGGATAGCAAAGGCGGAATGGCCTGTTGTTCGAATGGCGGATGCGGTGCCTACGTGCAGGGCGATGGAACAGAGGCTGGTACTGAAGCATAGTACGATGTCTCCTTGCTATGTGCATGCTGGTTCGATTTGGACGAGGCTTAGTGCTCAGGTTTACCTTGAGGTGAGTGATTTTGAGTGGCTGGCTAGTGTGTTCAAGAAAATCTTTGAAGAGCTAGCTATTGAGGGTAGTATGGCAAGTCTGGACATCAATCCGAAGCTATAGGGGGGTTAGTTATTTTATACTTCAAATCTAGGGGTTCAGGCGGTGGTAGACTTTAACAAAGAATGTGGATAGCTGCTGTTGGATGGACATGCTCACGGTTCTATATGTGGTAAATATTGAACATTTGGTTACAATGTTGTACAGATTATTAGGAGTAAAAGCTGAAATAATCATTAGATTTGCTTTCTTCGAGGTGTTAACTCGTTAAAAACACGATTTTGGAGTATAAGGAAACATCGATTAGCAATAAGGAGATATAAGTAAAAAGGGGAACAACACCAGTTCCATCCCATGATGGTGAAAATGCCAGAGCTATAATAAGAATATCCGAACGAAAACCAGTAAAAAGTAAAGAAAATCATCAAAAGCCTCGTAACCCCCAACCCTCAAATCCGAATTTTGTGATGCCGTTGAAAAATGAAAAGGAAAAGGTGCAAAGGGAAATTCATGAAGTCATCCTTGGGGTATAATAGTATATCGAAGAAGTAAGGAAGTAAAGAAAAAAGAGATGTGAGTTGGAATGTTGAATTGCTCCGGGTAATCAGGACGTGCCTCCTCCGAAATGGTATCTCATCCACCCGGCTAAACCACCGCCGGAGTTGCTTTCTGAGTTAGATCTTTGAGGCGGCGCACCAGGTGGATCTAACAAAGATCGGCTAGGCCGGTCAACTCTTTGAGACATATCTGACATGCTAGATGATTGCCCCTGTGCAGAGTCTAAGGGGGTAACAATAGGGTTGCTAGAACTTCCAAGAGGTCCGTTTGTAGAACCTTGTATATTCTGACCCTGCTGCTGCTGCTGTTGCTGTGATATCCCGTGAGTCTGTTGGTAGGTTGCCATGATTCCCTGTCGGCAGTGCGGGCATGTGTCATGTTCGTTTAACCAAGCTGTGATACAGGATTCATGGAACCAGTGTTTGCAGGGTAACATAGTGACTTCTGTGTCCAATTCGACATTGTCCATGCAGATGGAGCATTCGGCCTTGTTCTCACTGCCTAGCATGGATTTATCGACTTTGACCTTTGGGAGAGACCGGATGGCGTCTGCGGATGCTGGCGCAGGAGCATTTCCGTTTATGTTCTGGTCTACCAGTTGAGAGATCACGCGGTCGAGCTCTTCCTGAGAATAGACGGCGTCACCGTGGTGTTGCATTCCTAAAGCTTGGGTGAGAGCGGCAATAGGGTGTAAGAGGGGAACCCCCCCTCCTCGATAGTTTGGATTGGCAGCGCCATGCATAATGGCCAGAATGCTGGAGCTAATAGTTAGATCAGGTCACTTTTTGAGAGATATGGCACAACAGAGTCGGGATGGACTTACTCGTTGATATTTAGTACTGGTTCTGCATTGCGCTGTGCACGATCTGCATCTCGCGGATATAAGCCTCCGCCTAAGATCTCTGGGGGATTGGAATCTCGATAATTATTTGTTTGGTCATGATTTGGGCTCTGGGTGCCATAGCCCGGTGGTATTCCTCCTCTGTTGGGCTGTGTTTCGGCTATCCCCCGCAATATTGTATTGAAGGTCCGGAACAAAGGTCCGAGGGCGTCTTCTCCAGGTGCGGGACCGGTGGCCATTCCCATTCTGATGCCTCCGCCAATACCTCTGCCATCAGGAGATCTGATGGTGGTGCTCGTAAACTGGAAGCTACCGTCTGGGGATTGGTAGTGATGGCGGGTAACGTGCCTGGGTGAGTTGAAAGCGTTGAAAGTATCAAAGATAGGGTGGCTATCTACCTGCATAGCATCATCGGCTCTGGCGGATGCATTACGAGGTGACTGCTGTTGTTGACCTCCGGGGGAATTATGGCCAGTATTGTCGGCATCATGCTCGCTTTCATGTAGGGTTTCATGAATATTCTCATGCTCATCAAGCTGGATGGTATTGTTAGCTTGAGCTGATCAATACAGAGTATCCTTTTTTACCGACATGGCTGAAAGGAAAGAGTAGATGCTCACTATTTCAACAAACTCAGATTGACAGCGCGGACAGCTCAGTCCATGGGAATCCCGGGGCCACTCATGCTCACACTCATGGCAGAAGATTCGATCTCCCGGCACACGATCAGCCATGGTTGCTGAGAGCGAGCGATGAACTGGTGGGCACAGAGACGGTAAAAAAAGGCGGGAGCCAGGCCCCTTTTCAAGCTTGCAAAAAGAAAGTCAATATAGACTGAACGCTCAACCGTTAGAAGGAAATGGAGGACCGGAAGACGGATGCGAGTGACGGTCGGCGGGGCAGCATGCAGTATTATAGAGTGAAGCGGCCCCACGAAGGCTGGGTAGTTCTAGAATTTCGTATTTATAGCGAAATGAGGGCGGGTTTGCTCGCGGGGGAGGATGCAACGGGTGTCTGTCGGGATAGAGAGCAGGGAGATAGAGCTGTAAACAGCGTGGACGGAAAACCAGGGCGGCCTCTGCTCGGGTGGCTGAGCGTATATCCTGAGGGTGTCGGTGGCCAGCGGAACAAGTCCTTTGGTGATGCGCAAAAAGGACAAACGGGCTGGGCAAGTGATCGGTTGATGCAGGTCGAGGGTCTCTCGGAGGTTCGCGAAGCTTCGTCTTGCTTCTGCTGCGTCTGCCTGCTCTCCGCTGCTTTCACTTCTTGCAGCCTCGCTCTCTGCGTTCTCTGCGTTCTTCTTCTTTCTTTCTCTCCAACTCTTCGCTTTGCTCTGCCTTTTGTGCGTTGCTTGTTTGTTCCTTTTTTTTCTTCCGGCGCAGAAAGAAAAGAAGAAGCCAAAAGATGACGTCGTTGCTTAGTCAGCAGTCATTTCACTAAGAGATTGAAAATTCAATATCAAAAATTTCTGATATCAAATAAAAAGAGAAAAAAGGCCTGAAAGAAGCCCGAAGTCAGGTCAAAATAAGGTCAAAGAAGTCTTCATTAAGCGCTGTGTACCATGAGGAGAGACTGGGTCTTCAAAAAAAAAGCCAACAGAACGCCCTTCCAAATGCCTGCCAAAAGGAAAAAGTAGAGCCGAGGATAAAGTAGATGTAGTCAAGATAGTACACAATGGAGACACAAAAAAACAAAAAAGAACAAGGCCATGAAAGCCGCCAAATGTAAAAAGAGGGCCGTCATAAGTATCTATGTTCATCGCTTTCTGGCTCCTCTCATGATGAGGCCGCCGATCAAGCCCGCAGCCACGGCGACACCGCCGATGATGGCGGCACCCATGAGGCCCTCTTTGGCGACCTTGTCATCGATCAGGGTGCGCAGGCTGGCTGACTGCATGTTGTTGGGCTCGTGCTCGAGCAGGAGGTCGTTGTACCGTCGGGCCTCGCCGTAGTTGCCCAGCTTGAAGTTGCCGAGGGCAAGGTAGTAGAGACACTCTCGTCGGCGTTCGGGGGCGGTGCGGAAGATCTCAGACAGCAGCCGGGTGCCCTCCTGCTGCTCCGGCCGGGAGTTTGACTTTATCAGGCCCTGTACAGATGTTAGCCGGGGCCTCCAGCAGGCAGTCTGGTTTGCAGAGAGAGACTATACGCACCCAGGCGTAGTTGAACTTGGTCTGGACGCCGACGTATTCGCCCTCTTTCTCATACTGGGCGCGCAGGACCTGCAGCTCTGCGGGCTTGAGGGGACTGTCCATGGCGGCTATCTGTCAGTCTGCTGGTCTATTCACACAAACGGCAGCGTGTAGAGGCTTGTCTCACTGACCTTTCAGCGTCCGCGGCGTCTTTATATAGGGCAAACCTGGGTTAGCAAGCTGCTGGAATGCGGGAGCCTGGGGGGCTGCATAGCCACTTACAAGGTAACGAAGCCATCATCGGGCTTTTTTCTGCGAGGGAAGAATAAATATATAAAAAACAGGCGTCTCTGCGCAAGAGGCAAACACTGCAAGTCGGGTCTATCACTCTAGATGCTGTCGTAGAAGAAGCCGAAGCCGGTGCTGCTGCTGGCGTTGAGTGTGTTGTCCGTGGCGTCTTTTCGGCTTGCGGGGAGGTAAAAAAATAGCTGGAGTTGCTGCAACAACACAAAACGTCAACATCAACATCAACATCGACATCAGCGCCGGCAGGACGCAGGCAACACGATGCGATTGACAGCGATAACAGCTAAAAGACGCCAAAGACGCCGTTCACGATGCTGCTGGAGGAGGATCCCGCTACTGTAAGGCTCCTGGACGAGGATTCTACGGCCGATTGTGCGCGTGGCTGACGGTTCTCTACAGCTCATCCACCATACAATAGCCAACTTCAACATCCAGCCGGACAAGCTTGCGCTGGCTCGGATCAACGACTCGCTCTCGTCTCTGCAGCAGTCGCGAGATCTGCGCTTCCAGGAGGTCGAGAACTCGCTGCGGAAGCTCTCGCGGCAGCTCAGCACGCTCAACGCCCAGCACAAGGAGACCGTCGAGTCGCATGATCCCGCCCGCCATGCTGCGTCCATCGTCGAGCTGGACACCGAGAAGTTCCGCATAGCAAAGGCTGCGTCCGAGCTGGAGATCGAGAGCGAGCGGCTGGAGGCTCAGCTGGAGTCGTTGAAGGCCCGGCTGGCGGAGCTGGATGCGCAGGGCCTCGAGGGGGACGAGCATGCCAGGAGGGAACGCGAGGCCGACGATGCTACCATGTAAGGGCCTTTCTCTTGTTTTTGATTGTCTTGGGGGTGATTCTTTAGATGACTCCTGGGATGGATACTGACCGTTGGATGGTAGACTACGGCTGAAGATATACCGGTCCCTGGGCATCGATGTCGACACGGACGAGGCAGGGAACTACAACAAGGCTATCATTCGCAACAGCCGAAAGGGAGACGTCCACGTCGTGAACATCGATCCCAAGTTCTCACGGTTCTTCTATGCGAACTACTTCTGGCAGGCCATGTAGGGACCTCGCACGACCGGATGTGATATCAGCCCACAGCATCACGAAACACATTATGACCTGGACGGAGTTGGCCTCGTTTTGATACCCACGGAGGAGTCTGGCGCTGTACTGTATTTTATCTTTTGTATCATCTTTGTAGTATTTATCATCTACTCATTATATCTATATTACCTGCTCGCGTGAGACCAGCCACATACGATCTATATAGACCAGAGACACCGCCAGCTACGTATCTTCTCGAGAACACACACCTCGACAGGCCACAGATTCCGATCTCACCTGTATGTCACGCCTCTCCCGGAGCAATTATTTTGCCCAGCATCGCTGCCTGTCCCACTGTTGACCTCACAAGTCGAAGATCAGCCAAAGAGAAAGCCACAAAATCTGCAGCGAAACAACCCCAGCCCGCGCACAATCAACGAGCCAACACCCAGCAACACATCCGAGCAGCGGCGATGAGGAGACGGAGCCTGCTGAAACACTCATAGAGCAGTTCAATGACCGCCTGACGAAGCGAGACCAAGCTATGCCTGTCCATCGCCCGCGGCAGGCCCAGCGCATCAACCAGCTGTTCATCCTCGTGTCCATCACCACCGTCTTCACCCTCTACTACCTCTTCTTCAGAGAGCCACCGACCAGAACCCATGGGCTATCGAGCTCGCAGCAGCAGCAGCAGCCTGGCTCCGGCAAGCTAGCCACGGCGTCGAGGGAGCTGGTCGTCGCTAGCGTCAAGGCCGACGATACTGCGTGGATACGGGAGCAACTGGCCGGCTGGAAGGCGAATATCTACGTTGCCGACGCTGATGCTGCGAGCAATTCGGGCCTCTCTGTGCCTGTGAACAAGGGGAGGGAGGCCATGGTGTATCTGACGTGAGGCCCTCAGCCGTTTATAAATTAATTACCGGCGTAGTTAAAACGTGAGACACTGGGGCTGATGTTTGTTTGTTTACTGTGTCCCAGGTATATCATAGATCGATACGACTCGCTGCCAGACTTTATGATATTCATGCATGGACGGCGCTACCAATGGCACAACGACGACCCAATATACGGTATGTACAGACCATGGAGCTCTGGCTGGGCGGACAGGTGCAGATTGCGCTAAAACTACTACTTCTATACGCCCGCAGACGGTGCGTCGGTTATAAGCAAGCTACAGCTTCAGGCAGTGGTCAAGACGGGATATGCGCCACTGAGATGTACCTGGATACCAGGCTGTCCCGTGGAACTGCACCCGCTAAAGCCCGTTGACGAAGGGCCCATAGTTCGCCAGCAGACCGAGCTCGCCTTTGCAACCGTCTTCAAGACGTTATTCCCCGGTGCCGAAGTGCCTGCAGAGGTGGGTGCGACATGCTCGTCCCAGTTTGCTGCCACACGGGAACAGGTCATGCTGCGGCCCAAGGCGGACTATGAGCGTATTCGCAAATGGCTGGTCGAGACTAACCTGCCTGATGATATCAGCGGGAGAATCATGGAGTATATGTGGCACAGTATGTATCTTCTCTGCCTGTTTTTTTTTTTTTTTTTTTTTTTTTTTCCCATGTTAAGGTCCTCGTATACTAACTGGCTATGTTTGACAGTGATCATGCAGAAGAAACCGGTATACTGCCCGCCGGCTGGGGAATGCTACTGCTTCACGTTTGGCCTGTGTAATCTAGAGTGCACGGCGGCTAGGTGTGAGAAGCAATATGTCCTGCCTACTTATGCAGCTGTTCCAGATGGCTGGCCGGAGAAGGGCGGAGGTGAGAACGGATGGCCCAAGCCTGGCTGGAATCAATGACGACTCAACTCGAGGCATAGAGTCTGCTGTTCGCTGAGCTAGGAATCTGTGGCCATGACCTGATGGATCTCAGCTATAGGACGGCTGTCAGCTGTAATTTGAAGTGAATAAGGCCATTGATTGGATTCAGAAGTCCCCTCAGAGACATCATGGCCCATTGGTGAATGTATATAGCCGAATCAAGACTGTATCAACCCGTATTCAAACACCTCTGGCCCTATCTCCTCTCCGTTCCAAGTTAAGACAACAGTCTTTTTCAGAGGGTCTGTCTCTCCCCCGTGTCTGATCTGCACCCCTAAACCCTCCAGCCCAACTTCAGCAGCCCTCCTGTTCCACAGGAACTGCCGCATAGATCCGTCCAACTCTGCCAGAGCCCAAATCAACGGATATCGACTCTTGACCAGCGCGTCTCGAACCCCCTTCGTAGCCTCCCGCGTACTAACCAACATCCCCAGTATCCCCTCTCCCCTCCAGCCCACAGGTGCTCCAGAAAACGTCCCTTCAAGCTCCCGTATCAGGTTCGGCCCGACTTTTGTCTTGAGAGCCTTGCACTGCACCAGTATTCGTAGCGGCTGAGCAGCTGTCGACGTCGACCTCGACCTCAACGGCGGCAAAGACCAGGTCCCAACGAGATCAATGCCGCAGTCTGCACGGCCCCCAATGCGAGTGAGGTCAATACGGTGTCTCTTCAGGCTCTGCTGCACCGTATACTCGTACAGCGTCCCCACGTAGGTTGTGCTCTGTGTCGAGAGCGAGGTTCTCTCCGCGTAGTCCAGGAACGAGCGCAGGTCATTGTGCTGCGAGGTCGGAGGAGCTGGCGGGACAGGCAGTGAAGGCTTCTCAGTCGAAAACAGCCTTGGGTGTAGTGCTTTTAAGCCGTAGATGTGTGTTCTGTAGCATCGTGGAGCTGTTCTTGCGCAGAGCATGGCGTGTTTGCGGTTGCTGAAGAAGCTTTTGTTTGGTGCAGCGTTGAAGCTTTCTTGTTCCCTTTTCTATCTTTCGCTCTTTCGCTTTCTTTCGCTTTTCCTCATGCGGCGCCGCTCAACACGAATAACCATTTGACAACTGCTGCTACCAATGTGCTGCCTCTTTCTCGGGCCTGAATATACAGAATACACTGTGCTGGTCGATTTATAACCGTTTACTGGTTGGTTGCGCGGCGCCAGACGTCTTGCGACTGCACGCAGCGAGCTCGAGCGCCATGGCGGATATCCTCACGCAGCTCCAAACATGCCTTGATCAGGTACGAAAGGACTATCCTGGCCAGTTATATATGGAGAAAGAAGATACTAATGCTGCTATGTAGTTGGCGACCCAGTTCTACGCTACTCTCTGCTATCTCACTACCTACCATGACCATTCGCCAGCCATACCTCCACCAAACGTCCCAACCGCAATCCCGCAGCTGAAGAAAATACCAAAGAACGCACCGCCAAACACTCCAGCCGCTCAGCCGGCCTCGGGACAAGCGCAAGGACAAGACCAGAAAGACCAGACTCCCCAGCAGCAACAGCAGCAGCAGCAGCAGCAGCAAGGAGGAGAGGCCTCCGGAGGAACGCAAGAGCAGAACAAGGATCTTCCACCACGGCCTGATTCGTCGAACACATTTGCCCAGCGACAGAGAGAATTGGCGAGAGATCTAATTATAAAAGAGCAGCAGATCGAATATCTCATTAGCGTGCTTCCTGGCATAGGGAGCAGTGAGGCAGAGCAAGAAGCCAGGATACGGCAGCTCGCAGATGAGTTACGGGAGGCGGAAAAGATACGCAGACGGAAACGAAAGCAGATGAAGAAACTTGCAGAAAGTATTGATGGGCTGCTGGAAGCTGTTAGTCGGGGGATATAATAACTTTCACTGCTTGAAGATTCTTTGAAGCTGGTATGCTTTGATCGTTTACGCACTTTTTTTTTTTCTTTTTTTTCTTTTCTTAATATTATGATACCCCTATGATTATACAGCTATCTGTCTGTATATGTATGGAAACCAAATGGCTATCTTTATGCAATAATATAAGCGAAATTGAGCATTTGAAGAATTGCCCAAAGGGTAACCCGATGGCTGCTGTGTGGTATTCTAAAGACCGCTATTCGGCATTTAATTATTATCCCTGGTAATCAAGAAAAACTTGCAGAGAGGGAACTTCGTTGTAACAAAGGGCGCAGAAGTCAATATTTAAACAGAAAATGTAGTGTTGGTAACATGTAACAAGTAAAGGGGGTATCGGAAAGGGTTAAAAGGGGAATTGGGGGGAAAGGGGTAATATGAAGACATTGAAGCAGATTTCATCACTGCCGGGGAAATTTCCTCCAAATAGTTGAAAAGTAAAACCATTTAAATCTCAGGTTAACTCCAGTCCCCGATGCTGTTTTCATTTGGTCGTAAGTCCTGCCATTAAGCCCAAAAGGGGACCGAAATTGGCATCTAGCTTGGTCGTAAAAGGGGGTCGTGTAAAAAAGTCATGAGTAAAGAAAATGTGAGAAAGCTAGTGAAGTAGCATTGGATGAGGCACTGGTGTGACAAAGCAGGCATTCACTTGAAGAGGCTTCTGTATTCCTCAAGCCTCTCCTTTTGAAGCTCGCGTCTATCCATCTTTCTATTCAAGCTCATGTCAGCAAGTTTCTGCTTCCGCTTGGCCAGTTCCGTGATCTTCTCTTCAATGCTATCGTTCATTATGAATTGTATGGTGGTGACTTCTCTCGTCTGACCAATTCGATGCACACGGTCGACCGCCTGGGCAATAGCCGCGGGATTGTACTGCGGTTCCATGATGTAAACCATCGAGCCTGCAGTCAGGTTGAGTCCTACTCCGCCAGCTCCAATGGTTACTAGAAGGATCGTAACATTATCGTCTGTCGAGAAGGTTTCGATGGATGCATTTCGTTGCTTCAGGGACATGGTGCCGTCTAGACGGGTATAGCCCGTCAACCCATTCTCCTCGAGAGCAATCTCTATCAAATCAAGATGTGATGTCCAAGCAGAAAATATAACACTTTTGATCGGGGGTTGCCGAGAGGATTTCTTGTTATCCTCAGCCGTGTCTAAAAGGTGCGAAATCAAAGCTTTTGTCTTAGTGTGCGGCCCTTCGTAAAGCCCGAATTCTTTAGTTTGTTTGCGGTTCTTTTTGTTTTCGAGTAGCGAGGCTTGATATTCTTCGAACCCTGCCGTGGTGATGACAGAGTAAGCCGGAGCTATCACGGAGTTGCAAAAACTGCAAGAAACTTGTACGGGTTTACCAGCTAGTTCATCCAGTCTAGGTGCAATGGGGACAAAGCAATCGGCACACAAAATATCGTAGCAGGGCAGAATGGCTGCTACCATGGCGTTTTTATCACAGGGACCGGGACTGTCGTCGGACTGCAAGGTAATGTAGTTTGAACAACGAGCACAGGTATCAGCTGATGACTCCTTCATCAACGACAACATCTCGTACGCCTTTCGACTAGCAGCTGTGGTAGAATGGTCGTCATCCAGCTCCTCAATATCGATGGCGTCGTTTGCAGTAAGACCTCGGAAACGTTCCCGATCTTCCTTGTCCAATAGTTCCTTGCCGTGTGCGCAGATTTGCCGGAGTACCATCATGGCCTTCAAGACAATATGGTACATTTTACCAGTAGCCTTGCCGCGGGTTTCTGAAGCAACAACATTCATCATGACATTGGATTCCTTCTTGAAGAAATCATGGAGTCTTTTCTCTTGCTCAGTGAAAGTAAGCATCACGGTCTTGTCATGTCGAGCAGGCAAATTGATACGGTCCTTTACTCTACGAAGAGTAAATGAATCAACCAGCACACGCAGGTTGGTGATAGCGTTGGGATTCTCGGTTTTGAAAGGTGAAACTATATGCGATGCAAATCGGCCTCGTTCATCATAAGGTGATAGCCTCAGGAACTTCAGCACCGCTCCCAGGTCTTCAAGTCTGTTCTGGATTGGAGTTCCGGTGACAGACCATCGCCGTTGCGCGTTGAGCTGAAATATAGCTTGACTTTGAGCCGCGTTCTGCTCTCGAATAATATGCGCTTCATCAAGAACAATGCGGAACATGTTCATTCGCACAAGCGGGCTCGTACCTCTCTTAGAGCTTTTACCGGACACATCACTTAAAATAGTAGTGTATGTAGTGATGACAATGTCATACCGTGCTAACTCCTTCGGGTCCTCTGTTCGATTCAGTCCATGGAAAACATAGTATGAAAGAGCACCGTCCTTGATATGCTCTTTAATCTGGCTTACCCAATTGCCGACAGCACTGAGAGGAGATACCAAGAGGGTAGTTTTTGCGTTTATCAAGGATGGGTCTGCAGGCTTTTCACATGCCCAAGCCGTAGCATCCGACAGAGACGAGCATACGAGGGATAAAATGCTTAAAGTCTTGCCCAGTCCCATCATATCTGCCAGTAGACCACCTAGGACCTGTGGAGGTTCTGCTGCAAGGGTTACGCCACTGATGATCTCACGATAAACTCGTCGTCCATTTCCCTTTTGTTCAATTCTCCAGAGTGAGTTGTTTTCCGCTTCGTTTGTGCTTATTTTGCGTGGTTTCTCTTTTTCCATCATAAATCCGAGGGCCTGTTTTTGATGTGGAAGTAATTGAGTCTCTAGTAAGTCAGGGGTTTCCATTTCAGGGAGATTCTGGGCACTCTGGAGCTGGTCAAACATTTTCGTAACGGCACTGCTAATTTCTTCTGCTGTGCGAACTTCGGATTGAACAGCATATCTGGGCGTTTGCTGAGGTTGTTGTTGCTGTGATGCAGCTGCCATTAATCGACGCCTTTCAGCATGAGGGTTGTAAGTCGCAATGCCAGCTTCAACTGAATTAGGTATCCCGAGCCAAATATTCTTCTGGCTTAAAACACGGCCGATGGTATCAGCAATCCGTCTCGGGCCATATAGATTGATCGAGATGCGGAATATTTCAGAGCAGGCCTGACCAGGCTGCTCATCTGGCTGTCTCCGGCGTGCATCAAGACGGGCTTGGGTTCTTAGATCGAATGTCATATCAAGTAGAGGCGCCAAAGCCACAGAAACATGTTTATCTAAAACTCCAAAAGAATTTCCAGCCACATCGCGGACATCAATAGTTATATTGTGACTTCTCGTCCGTACCAATTGACAGCGTATAGACGGCCAACTTGATGCGGTCGCACCAAACGCAGATTTGGGAAGGGCTGGAATCATATGCGCGTGTACTGTTGCGCCCTCGATCTTCCCATAGCACACTTCTTCGGCGCCTTTCTCCTTATTGGCAACAAAAATGACATCATCATCGTTCCTATCGTCTTTTTCTAAGATTATTGTCAATTCAGTTATCTTTGTCTCTCCGTAAGTGAATACTCCAGACTTACCTGCAGTAAGGTCAATTGGGTTGTTTGCAGTGACAGTAGCTCCACTATCATCCGGCTTTTCTTTCATGTAGCTTCCAAGAGCCGAGCTGCTAGTACCCGAGAATCTTGCATCTGGCCCACCGTTAGTGCCTGTGGAAGACCCTTTATCGACTTTGACTCGTTTCTGTGGCTGGTTCTCCCGTCTTTGAACCCCGTATATGTCCTCAATCATATTGCTGTGCGCTGCTGCTGGTGCCTTGTTTGACTCCAGCGGCAAATTTCCCGTCACTGACGTACTGGAGTTCGTGTTTGTAGGAGTCTTGGTTCCATTGCGGCTACGGGTTGAACTATTCGAGTCTTGAGAGTGGTTCGAATTCGGGAAAGGTCTTGTCGGGAATTTGAATTGTCGAGGCTGGAGGAGAAGCTTTGGGTCAAAGGATGTTCCAGGGGGAGCTTCAGATGCAGAAAGTCCCGGAGAATCAGGAGGTTTGTTATTATTCCCTGTGGTAGGTCGACCTTTGAGATATGTGTAAGTATCTGAAGTTCCGAACAAATGAAAATCATCTATTGCTTGTCGCTTCCGAGAAATCGAAAGTGGTGCAACAGGCTGCGAAATGGGTGGCTCGCTCAAGTGTCGAGTTCTGACTGCTTGACCACCATCCATTGCACAGCCAGTTTTGGGTTTAGGGATGAGAGGTGAAATATTACCAGTTGTATTCTGTCTCTTATATGCCTTTGGATCCAGCAGGAGGGCTGCAGATGGGTAGCTCATCGTCGCGCGTCGAATCTTAAATCTCGGCGGGAGTTCGAGGGTGGTTGGAAAGAGCAAATTCTCGGCGAATGAAAATCTACTGAGGGCTCTTGTTGGTGAGGTGACTGCCAAAAGGACTTTGTTGCAGCCTAGGTTGTTCCATCGAGTGAGAGGTACGATTGCATAGAGAGAGAGATGGGCTGATTGCGACCTGGAAGGAAGGTCGCGGCGAGTTGGAGGGATGAAAGATAAGTGAAACAGCAAAGAGATCGCTCAAGGCGCGTATTTCCGTTTGCTCTGCCCCCACGGTGAGTTGAGTCGAGACATGAAGGCGAGGCTGAAAGCGACGTCGAGTTAATACGGCTTGAAGTGAAAGTGACGCACCAGGATCGAGGGTTCCATGCAAGATAAGATAAAAGATTGGGCGCCTAGCGCGGATAAGCCAAGCGCCTCCTTAGGTCATGTGATAACTTATGTAATAAAAGTGAGCCAAGATGAAAATTCAAACAAACATCCTGGATGCCATAAATTATTGTACAGCAGAAAAGAAAAACGCATTCAAGCGCATCAAAGGAGATGGCCATCCGACGAAACCAAAAGAGTCGCTTCTATGGTTAACACCATGAAAATGAAATAGTACACATTTCGAAGGAAACATTATGGGTCACATATTAGAGGCGTATAGTTATGCCACAAGTCAACAGTCAACAGCGCTAAACTCCGCATGCACATATCATGAAAAGAACAATCTTGATCTTTATATAAAAGGTAGAAAGGGTGAATAGTGAAAAGAAAAACATAGCATGTAAATAGACAGGAGAAGAGAAAGCATTAGGTTGATAGAAGATGAGAAAAAGGGGTAATTGGTCGAGAAATGTATACGTTCCTGAAAAAGGCGTTAAAAGGGATAAAGAGGCCAGAGAGATAATGAAAGGAAGTAAGAAACCGTGAGATAGAAGACGAGGGGATCACCACCAGGTGAAGACGGGGTTTTTGCTCTTGACTGTCTCGAGTCTTTCGACGATCACCTTGCGTTCGTGGCCGTCCATTTCCTCGGCGGCGGCATATCCAAGGTCACCCTCAAGGTCGTCAGCACCAAAGTCAAACGCACTGTCTCGGCGTTGGGAGAGAGAGTTACGTTTCTTATGTGTGGGTGATTTACCGCCGAGGTGCGATCTGCGCCTGGAATGATGGGCGTGTTGTCTAGGGGCGGTGGCTGCCCAGCTTGTGGCCAGCTTCCGGCCGCCTTCTTCGAAATTCTCAATGTTCCGAAGCCGAGAAGCGTCGAGAGACCTAGGACTCACTATTCCGTCCGTAGCACTGGAGTCCATCGATGCCCGGTCACGGGACAATTCGAAGCGGTTAGGGTTAGGTAGTTCGTTTGTGGGTGACCCGAAGCTCAATAGATCCCGATGGGCATGCGTGCTCGGCTCTGGGGTAATGGCGGCTCCAATATCCATTTCCTCGTGGAGTTGACTCCTCCCGTTCGCCCGGTGCATACTAGCATCGGTTGATGGGGCACGGAGTGGAATCGCCACAGGGATGTTTACCAGGTCGTCCCAAACACATACTCGGGTTCTTCGCGTAAGTTCAAGAGGTCCATGATCACGCTGCTTCAGGGTCTCAACAACATTCCATGCTTGGCCTTTCATAACCGCGATTTGTCGGGCAAACATGCTTTCCTTGAAATCTGAGTCCTGGCTAAACACAGCTCTCAGGGCAGTTTGAGTCTCCGTCCACCAAGCAGTAGATGTGAGAAGAGGTAAGAAATGTTCACGAGTTTTTTGAGAGAACGGTTGGCCAATAAGAGAAACTGGAAGGAAGAGCCAACCGAATGGAAAACTACGCCACTGTTTACCCGGTTAGCAATGGAATGTATTAGACAAAGGAGTGGAATCCAAGGTTCACTTACAGCATCAGGATGTTTCCAGGGCCAAGATAAACTGTTATCGATGGCCCCGATTGAAATTGTGGCCCGAGCCAGCTCTGCCGCATTCAATGGCGTTCCAGCGCGACTAGTTGCTGTCATGGCATCCTGGCGCCGATATGGGGCTGTGCGTGACGGTTCACCGTGAGAATTTACAGAAACAGGACGAGCAGGCGGAGTCGGTTCATCGTCACCCAGATGGTCAGTTTCATTCAGACGAATAGGGTCTGAGACGATTGAAACCTCTTCGGTGTTCCAGTTGATTTTAATCATCCAGTTATCAAGACCACGGTCTGTATTTCTCATAATGTAGTCCAAAATAACGAGCTTCTCAAGCTCTTCTCGGAAGCCTTGCTTCAGGTTTTCAGTCCAATGGAATTTATGATGGCCCGAGTTGTCCTGGGGCGTATTTGCTCCCAGCATCCGACGGTTTTCGTCGCCATCATCGTCATCGGATTGGGCACCAGATGGTGTACAGGTATCGTTCCATCCTCTCTTTTTCCTGCGAGGAGCATCTTCGGCACGGAAACCGGTGGTAGGTTGATCAGGCCAAGGATGCTCTCTAAGGAATACATTTGCATCTTTGAAACCTTTCAAGAAGACCTGGAAGCTGCCTACCTTAGGAGGCAAAGGTCTTCTGCCATACCAGGCTTTCCGCCGGTCCCAAAAGTCATAATGGAAGGATTTTGAAGAAAGGTAGACGATATCGGTGTAAGGAACGAGATGTGTTCGCAACTGAGTGTCAATGACATATGCAGCAGCCTCCGAAACATAGGAAAGGTTGGGAATAAGACAAGCACGGCCGAAACAGCATGGAAACAGATTTCGATGTATCCATTTAGTCCATTTCGGGTTTCGTGAGGCATAGGGTTCCTCATCTTTTGGCTTAAACACTCCAACGACTTTCCCCTCAGCATTTCTCGCAAAGTAACTGCCGGAGCTACCTTGTGAAATCATCTTTGGGTGGATACCGAGCTCGATGGCCGTCCTAACACTGTCCACTACCTGCTCGAATTCGGCCTTTGTCATTCGGCCACTGTTATTTTGGTCAGCAGATTCTAGGGATGCTGCTGTAACTGGCCGGATGCCGTCCAAGGGCTGGAAGACAGAGTGGTGTATTTCAAGTTCTTCTTCTTCGGAGGTCTTGCCGTGTACTCGGTTTATCTTGAACTTTGAGGCAATTTCTTCAGCCCATTTCTCCAATCGCATATTGATTGCCTTGATATCGACTCCAGAGGAGTTACTGCGAGCCCGGTTTCGTCCATGATGGCGCCTGTAATATACGTCTGAGCTGTCATGTCTGAGGCCATGTGTCTGGATTGGGGCGAATCGTCCAGAGTTCGACGATATCGATGGGAACGGGCGCTGGTTTTCGTCGTCAGACTCATCAAGATACTCATGAGCATCTGCCTGGGAGAGACGAGCATATCCCGAAGTCGCCGGACGGTGTTTTGGCGCCATGGCTGTGGTGGTCAAAAGGAGTTGTTATCAGTTAGGCAGAGAGCGAGCTTGTCCAGCATTTGAAGCTCGAGAGCCTGATGCAGCAAACCGGCGGTCTAAAACATTGCTTATTCTGCAAGAACGGTCTATCTTCAAACACAGCCCGCAAGACTATGCCACTACCTTCGACTCAAAGTAAGGAACAGAGAAGAGAGAGAGATGAAAATCCGTTTGCCTGGCCTTCCCCCCCTTAAACGCCTTTTAGTTTTTTTGATCTGAACAACAAAGTAAATTAAAAAAGAAAAAGTTACGTCAGATTAATAATCTGCTTAGTCATGTAAATCACATGACTAAATGAAATATATCTATGACTAATCAACTTATCGGTCCTGATAACAACTTTTTTTTTTATCGCGACTTTGCTTTATCTTTTTGGTCTTCCTTGGTCCAACTCGCTCTGCATCATCTTCCAGCCATCTTCAACGACCATCAAAACAGCCCATTCATATCCCATTTCCTATCTCTCTGTTTCGTCCCCAGTCCGGATCACCCTTATCCTTCCTTCTTTTCCCTTTCTCTACCGCGATTGAGGCCTTCGGTGCCTCAACATACATCGTTCACCACGGCGTCCGCAGTAGCTCCCCTGTCCTTAGGGACATCCGCCATTGATCCGGCTCTACGATCCTCATCCTCGCAAGTTCGAGATGTTCCGGCCTTCACATCGCCTCAGGAAGGCGATGGTTCGTCGTCGTTGAAGTTTGAGGCCGGAGAGTCCTCGACAGCCTACCATAATTCCAGCTCGACAGCTCCTCCTCCAAATTCCTTTCCTGCCACGACAACAGCAACAACCGATTATCCAGAGACATCGACGGCAGAATACGCTCCTTCGGCCACGGGGCTGTCTGCTTTGGCATCCGCTGCCTCTGATCAGACCTCTTATATACGGTATGTCGATAGGAGAAACTCGCCGATAAGGACCGGCATTTCGTCATCGGTCTCGCAGCAACATACAACCACATTCCAATTACCTGACGAGATAGGCTTAATTTGGAAATTTACTGACTGCTATAACTGTCGTAGGGCGTATGATAACGCGGAAACCTCGAACAGCAACCATAATGCCAGCCAGAGTGTAAACTATGCGACCTCTGCGCCAACCGCAACCAATGGGGGACAAGGCAGCACCACGGTAAGCACACCCTGCAACAGCCTCAGATAACTAAGCACATCCGATCCATATCCACAAACCATCTTCCCGTCCTCTACTCTGGCTTTTCTATACGTTGCATCTTCCCCCTGCGGCTTGCAGTAAACTGCTCTCCTATTTAGGAATAGCCGGACGAGAAAAATGGCTTGGCGGTTATTAAACCGCCTTTTTTTCTTTTCTTATCGCCAACATTCATTCCAACTTTCTTCTACCTTATCACACTCGAGATAGCTTCCGACGCGCGCTACAGAAACTTCTCTGCACTCTTGTGTGGTGTCTCTGCAGCGTAAACTCATCGTCACAAGCTCTTTGCACCCATATTTATCATGGCAACGGCCCTAGCTAACCAAGCTCACGTTCAATTGCAGTCTGTTTGCCAGAATTGCGGTACTTCCAAGACTCCATTATGGCGTCGAGACGAGATGGGCTCGGTGCTTTGTAACGCCTGTGGCCTCTTTCTAAAGCTCCACGGCCGGCCACGGCCTATGAACTTGAAGACAGATGTGATAAAGAGTCGCAATCGGGTGAAAACTTCTGGCCAAGGCCCAAAACGAAAGGTACCTAAATACTTCTTGTCTTGCGGTAGTCGGACTAAGTGTCTAACCCGCCTCCCAATTGCAGGCCAATACCGATGCAAACAACCAAGCTACTCCAAGATCAGACGGCACTACGCCATATGGCTACGCTCGTGCTTCCAGGAAGCTCTCTCCTGGCCGTTCCGATGGTTCAAATTCTCCAGTCTCCCGAACGGACACGCCTAATTTCCATGGTTCAACTAGTATCCCTCCTCACAACATGTTTGACAACGTTGGCCTCTCAGACCCAAATTTCAACCCATCAGGGAACTTCGCGTCGTTACAGCTACAACACCCGTCTCCGGGCTCAACGTCTTCTAACGAACGCCATCTTGAAGGTCCCCAGACATACGAAAACTTACTTGCTGCAAACACATCCTTAAAGACCAGAGTCAATGAGTTGGAATTGATAAATGATCTTTTCCAAGACTCGGAATCTCGTCTACGGCAGTCACTCAAAGAGGCACAGAAGCGAGAAGAGGAACTAAAACGCAGGATAAGCGAACTTGAAGGTCGCTTATCCGCACAGGAACAGGCTCAATCCAAAGATGAGCCGACAGAACCTCAAACTAAACGGTGTCGATTTTCTGACTCTCCAGAGAAGGTTGAAGTCGACAACAAGTCTTCAGCGGACGTCTAGGACGTCAGTTCTTTCTTGTCTTTGATTCTTAGTTGGCACGCAATGCGAAACCGCCGTTTGCCAGCTCCTCTTCTTCATATCTCCCCGTTTACTTTCTATCTTCTCACACTTTTCCCCTCACTTTGAAAGTTGATGTCCGTTCGATGTCAATATCCCTCTCGCTATTCCCTTATCACAACACCCTTGATACATTCTTCTATAAAATTCCCGGAATTCTGTACTCTACATGCCCCCCGTCATCTTTACCGCGGACGAGTTTTATGCTGCGGCATTCAACTCTTCTCTTTATATCACTAATCACCCTTCCACACAAGCTGTGGATGGACTCTTTGTACGCGATACTTGTCACTGTTTGTTGGCCCTTTTCTTTACGGCACAGCAGATTATCTCACGCCTTAACTGCTCTTCATATATCTCGATCGCTGCTTTTTGGTTAACTGCTCTACCACCCTTCTTCGCTTCTCACCTGTCTTTACTACAAATACTTCCGTGCTTTGCTCCCTGCTTTTTTACCATCACTCCTCTATAGCTGAAGTTATCTTTCGAAATTTT